TGGATGGATGGATGGCGCGCAGGTAAAGTTACACATTTATTTTATATACGCCAACATTTTAAAAAGCAAATAGGAGGTGGGCTGATGGGGTTGGCACGTGGGTGGGGGGGGGGCGTATAAAATAATCGCTGTGCCCACAGCGTGGGAAATGATTTTGTTTGGAGTTTGGTGGTGGGGGGGGGGGTTTAAACTCCGTTGTTTGGGTCACTCGTGGTTGAGAATCGCGTCTGATCGTCAAGGTGGCAGCGCCTTGACATTTATTCTCTCGCGTGATTAATGGAGAACAAATGAAAGGTCGACTGCTCCGTTCGGGTGGGTGGGTGGGGGGGGAGAAATCGCTCCTGTGGGGGTAAATATAAACTTAAAGGGGCTGAGACGCACAAAAAGGAAAAGCGTTACGTATGTACATACTATTTAAACGACGCGCTCCGCGAAAAGTAAAGGCGTTTAAGCTCGCGTATTTCTCGAATGAGTGTGTGTGTATCATGTACGTTATCCGAGTAGAGTTGTATATGCCTGTTTACTTACACTGCCTAAACAAACACACACACAGGGGCTCTGATTGCAGACTAGGAATTTGATATTGCACATTAGTGTTCAAGATAAAATGTTGCGTTTTTGTCGCGATGCTAAATGTCGTCAGTCTTGTTGTGTTCCCTGTGCGTAGACTGCCTTGCGAGTTTCTTGAATCCCATCGACACCGTTTCTGTCCAACCAGACGTAGTCACGGGTACAGCGAGGTTCATTGGCAGTTCACGTGTGGTGGGTTAAAGTGTGGGTAACTTCCACCTCTTTTGAGACGTCTTGCCAGCACAGAAGAGTATATTTGGAGTTTGCATGTCTCTCTCTCTCTCTCCTCGTAGTCGCCTGGATTTGTCTCCAGTATTTCCCTCCACATTTAGAAACAACACGCGTTTAGAGTATTTGGCTGCTATAAATTTCCACATGATGATGAGCCACTTCATTGAGTTATCATTTGTGGCCAGGTCGCTTTTGAAAAAAAAAGAGCTACAGAGCTCAGGGGGCCTTATCTGGTAAAATACAAATAGTAGTAGTAGGCTGCATATCTTCTGGAGGGACTCTGTAGAGCTTCTTCTCGAGGAGGCCATCCGCCAGCAGGGTCTTGACCGAGCAATTGCAGGGCTGCGCCTTTATTTCTTGTGTATTCTGGTTGTATGTCCGAGGTCTCCTTTGAAAGATACCTCGCTTCCATTTGGACAGGCAACTCGAGTCGCCTCAGCCTCATTTTTTTTTATTCCCCCAAAAACGTCAACTTGTGATGGACACTGCGAGTTGGTTACAAAAAAAAGTAAAAATGTTTAAAATGATTTTCCGAGTTACTCGAGAGCTTGGCAGATCACAAAAGTAAAATATTCTCACCGACTCGAAGCGAGCCTTTGTGATTGGCATGTTTGGTGATGCATTCCCCCCCATACCCCAGCCCGCTTTGGTGCCAAATTCCACTCTCGCAACTGAAGGTCCCCGGCGTGAGAAGCGAAGTCGTCCGGAGCAATTTTAAGCCCCTGTCCGATTTGGTAGCCAATTCTCAAAATTGCCCGCAAACAGAATAAATTAACCCGTTAAAACAAAGTTTTTCACTATAAATCCTTTATATGCGTGGCGGCTAGAGTCCTCTCGTCCTCTGGCTTGAGATGGCTGCCACCTATGGGTCAGATGAATGGCTGGCACCATTAAGCAATTGGTAATTAAATATAATTTATTTTTTCCTAAAAAGTGTAAAATTTTGGAAAAAAATTTTCACGAAAATACATTGTCACGCACAACGAGTCTGTGTGCAAAATGTCAGCTCGATTGGATCACGGGAAGTGGGTTAAAAAACGACCGAAAGATTTGCACAGTCATAAGCAAGCAAGTGAACTTAATATAGAGGATTTAAAAATAAAACGGGCGTGGGGATCAACCCGAGTTGGATACTCGAGGCTGCCTGCGGCTCCACGGACACGTGGCATTCATCTCACTGGGCACCCGTCAACTACTTTTCAAATATATAACTCACGAAAGAAAAAAGAACTCGAATCGGTGTCCGTGTGGGAGAATATAACGATGAGAAAATCAATGAAATTCCTCCTTCACGCGTGCACAGATGGAGGTGTGCCAAGGGGGTGTCATTGTCCCCTTCATTCAGACGCTGTCTTTCCGACAGCCCTGTTCTTCACCTGAGGATGGCTGCTTGCGTTGTGGCCGAAACGTCGTGGGAATTGTATTTTATTATGTTTAAATTTTATTTTTTTATTATTTCCCTCCTGCGTGACTTTACCGACAGAAACCAACAAGACAACTAAATTAGTTTTCGATCTTGAATTAAAAGTTCATAGCTCCCAGTGGTTTCCTAGTATTGGAAGGACCACCGCCACTACCACGCGTAAAAAGGCGGGTGCAGGAGGAGGCGTTGTAGGGCAGTCGAGGGCACGCGCAGCAGAAATCCATTTGCTGTCCTGCAACTTCCCGTTTCACCCTCACCAGAGCGACACTGACCACCGTGGTGAAGTATGGCCAAACATCCCTCGCGGCCCACAAGACGCGGGGAAGCAGACCTCATCCAGCAGTAGATTGGCAAACGGAGCTGTACAAGCGCTGGGACTGCTTCTTGTTATTCACTGTTCAAATCGTCCGTGCGTGCGTCTGTGCGTACGTTTATATTCTTAGGTTTTTTCGGTACTTTTAATTTTTTACCGACGTGACTTTATCGAAAAAACCTAAGAATATGAATCCTTGCAGTCACGAAAGCTTCAAATCTAGAATGCGTACGTTTAACTTATTTCGCACCGTCCGTAGCCAGCCGCGCTAATCGGAGGTGCGGGTGGAAAAGCAACAAAACTGAACAAAACAAGCAGCTCTAAAGAAATGAGTTTTATATCTATTAATTAGTTTTCAATCGAGAAAATTAGTTTTCAATCTGCAAATGAGTTTTCAATCTAAAGTCGGGTTTTTTTTTCCCCTTCTTCCCGTAAACCAAGACATTGGCGTAGGACGAATTCTTGGCGAACCGTATTTTTCCCGTAGGGGGTGACGCGCTATGGGGGCAGAAAGTGACACGCGAGGTTGTTTTTTGAGGGCTCCACGTGGACTTGTGGGATGATGAGGCCCCGCGCGGTAGCTCGCGCTCGTAATGACCGACTGGCAGAATGGTGAACGTCCTCAGCAGGGCCCGCAAAACGTCGTCTCCTCGAGACGATCAGAAAGACGCCCTAATCCCGCCCCGCTGTCGCGTGCCGTGAGTCAATTGGCGGCCTCTTCGTTAAGCCGCGGAGCCTCTGTTTACAACACGGGGCCTCTCGTTCTGCGGCGAGAGAAGCGGAGTTTGTTAATTGCATTATTTCACCGCATTCTTGGGATAATCCTTTCTGTGTTTTCATGACCGAGGTCACAGGTGATGACAGCACGGAGTATTTGAGCAATGATTTGCACTGCTGAGCACTCAATCAGTGTCTGTTTAACTCCCTCACCCCGCCCCCCCCGGTTTGATTCTGCTAAGTGGCACCAGAATTTGGGAACGTGGGGGACGGGTGAACTGGATTGTATGGTCGCATCACCTGGTTCTCGAACCCATCGCGGGAGATTGGGACCGAGCTGTGACTAACACTGTTATCGGTGGTGGCTTGATGACAGTTATGATTGCCGAATGAGGATGATGATGATGACTTTAAAGTTTGTGTTTCATTGTGAATGCAGTATGTATTATTTGGGTATTTCGGCAAAGTCACGTAGATAGAACAATAAAAAAAATTAAAATAAATTAAAGTGAATAAGAAATTAACAATAATTTATTTGTATTATTTTCTTGTTCTGTCTACGTGACTTTACCGAAAGACCCAAAGAATATGAATTCCTGCATTCACGAAAGCTTTAAGTCAAGCTTTAATGCAGTATGTGTTGGATAATTATAATTGACGTGATGATAATGATATTTGCTTTTTGCAGTGGAACATTTTTATATTTACCAACAAATGATGGTAATGAATAATGCATTTGTTTGATAATAAAAGTGAGAATGATAATGATGTTTCTATTGATGCTGATATTGATGATTAACATAGTCGCTGTGTTTGTTGGGATTATTGAAGTATTGATTATGATGATGATATGTTTCGATTTAAAGCTTTCGTGACTGCAGGGATTCATCTTCTTGGTTCTTTCGGTAAAGTCACGTAGAAGGGCTGTCGGAAAGACAGCGTCCGATGCTGTCTTTCAGACAGCCCTGTTCTTCACCTGAGGACGGCTGCTTGCGCTGTGGCCGAAACGTCGTGAGAATTTTATTTGATTATGTTTTATTTTTATTATTTTATTATTTCCCTTCTACGTGACTTTACCGAAAGAACCAAGAAGATGATGATATGTGTTTGTTGGTGATGATTATGTTGATGAATTTAGCTTTTCTGTTGGATGAGGAATGAAGTGATGATGATTTAAATCGCCTATTGATTATTATTCACGAATTCAGCTTATGTGCGGTGAGTTGTGGGTGGATTGTGATATCCCAGCACCGCGAGTGATGGCGACTGATTGGGTAGGCTTTCATCCAGCAGTAGATTGATCATGGCTGCTGATGATGACGATGACGTCTTAATGACGGTGCTTGACAGATTACGATGATGAAAATAATAAAATAAAATAAAAAAGTTAAAACAACTAAATTAAATGCTGATGCTGCTGAATTATGATGTTGCTGCTGCTGATGATGATGCTGCTGATGATGCTGTTGCTGATGATGATCATGATGCTGCTGCTGCTGATGTTGCTCATGATGATAATGCTGCTGATTATGATGATGATGCTGCTGCTGCTGATGCTGCTGATGATGCTGATGATGTTGATGCTGCTGATGACGATGCTGCTGCTGCTGATGATGCTGATGCTGCTGAATTATGATGTTGCTGATGATGCTGATGATGCTGATGATGCTGCTGCTGATGACGATGTTGCTGCTGCTGATGACGATGCTGACGATGAGCGTTGTGCTGCTGTGGTGCGGCGTAAAGTGCGGTGCGCCGAGAGACGTCGCGAGGGATGCCGGGACACACGCGCCGCCCCGCGCGCCGGGGACCCTCCGCCGTCGCCCTGCTGCTCGGAGCCGCCCTGCTGTGCACGAGTCTCGGCGCGACAGCAGGTGACGTTCAAATTCCCGACATTCCCGATATTACCAACACCCCAGACATTCCCTCCATTCCCGCCATTCCCAACATTCCCTACAGTCCAGACAGTCCTGCCATTCCCAACATCCCGACATTCCAGACACCCCGATATTCCCGACATTCCAGACACCCCAGGCACTCCCGACATTCCCGACAAATCCCGACATTCCAGACATTCCAGACACCCCAGGCACTCCCGACATTCCCGACAAATCCCGACATTCCCGACATTCCAGACACCCCAGGCACATCCCGACATTCCCGACAAATCCCGACATTCCAGACATTCCAGACACCCCAGGCACTCCCGACATTCCCGACAAATCCCGACATTCCAGACATTCCAGACACCCCAGGCACATCCCGACATTCCCGACAAATCCCGACATTCCAGACATTCCAGACACTCCAGGCACTCCCGACATTCCCGACAAATCCCGACATTCCAGACATTCCAGACACCCAAGGCACTCCCAACATTTCCGACATTCCCAACATCCCGACATTCCCGACATTCCCGATATTACCAACATTCCCTACAGTCCAGACATTCCTGACATTCCAGACACCCCAGGCACTCCCGACATTCTCGACAAATCCCGACATTCCAGACACTCCAAGCACTCCCGACATTCCCGACAAATCCCGACATTCTAGACATTCTAACACCCCAGGCACTCCCGACATTCCCGACAAATCCCGACATTCCAGACACCCCAGGCACTCCCGACATTCCCGACAAATCCCGACATTCCAGACATTCCAGACACCCAAGGCACTCCCAACATTTCCGACATTCCCAACATCCCGACATTCCCGACATTCCCGATATTACCAACATTCCCTACAGTCCAGACATTCCTGACATTCCAGACACCCCAGGCACTCCCGACATTCTCGACAAATCCCGACATTCCAGACACTCCAAGCACTCCCGACATTCCCGACAAATCCCGACATTCTAGACATTCTAACACCCCAGGCACTCCCGACATTCCCGACAAATCCCGACATTCCAGACACCCCAGGCACTCCCGACATTCCCGACAAATCCCGACATTCCAGACACCCCAGGCACTCCCGACATTCCCGACAAATCCCGACATTCCAGACATTCCAGACACCCCAGGCACTCCCGACATTCCCGACAAATCCCGACATTCCAGACATTCCAGACACCCCAGGCACTCCCGACATTCCCGACAAATCCCGACAATTCCCCACAAATCCGTTAACCGCCGGATGCACGCGCCCAACCAACGCAACTGTACCCGCGCGCGTCATTTGAAGCATTGGATCCCTGCGACAAACGCAATTCAGAGACACATCATATTGACCATGAAGACGAGTGAATGTACTAGTGCCCAATTACTTTGTGGGCTAGGGTCAATTTGCTTCGTGAAACTAAACGATATATATTTTATTTATTTTACCAGGTAAGGCCCACAGAGCTATGTAGCGCCTTTTCAGAAGCGACCCGGCCACAAATGATAGCTCAACGAAGCGGCTTATCACGTGGAAATTTGTAGCAGCCGAATCCTCTAAACGCTTGATTCTAAATGTGGAGGGAAAATCCGGAGGACCCGGAGAAAAATCCACGCGAGCACGGGGAGAGAGAGAGAGAGAGATGTCGAAACTCTAAATATACAGCAGGTGTCAGGGTCGCTGATCGAACCCACGACCTCCTGTACACCAGGCGAGGAAGTTGCGTGCGATGAAGGAGGGCCATTGCCTGAAACGTCGCCTATTGCAGTAGAACCCATCTTAACGACCACCCCTGTTAACGATACATCGCTTAACGATGAGCCTCCATAGAGCCCAATGTGTAGTGTATAGTGTAGTGTATATTAGTGTAGTGTATAGTGTAGTGTATATTAGTGTAGTGTCTTAGTGTAGTGTATATTAGTGTAGTGTATAGTGTAATGTATATTAGTGTAGTGTATAGTGTAGTGTATATTAGTGTAGTGTATAGTGTAGTGTATATTAGTGTCGTTTTCAATCGTATAGGGCCTCCAACCATTCCCCTGTTAACGACGAGCGGTTGTAGGTAGGTAAATATCAATGCATTTATTGATTGACCATGTTTCTTTTAATATTATGAGTTCATAATGTCGTTAGCATCTTTACGTATTAACGTGTATTTCCTATACTCGCTTCGCGACGAAATGACTTCACGGCCGGTTTCGTGGAACCAATCACCGCCGTTAAGAGGGCTTCTATTCTATTATGTACATTTTTTAAAATTTTAAGGCCACACGGTGTAATTGACGAATGTATTGAATCGTTTAGTTTGTATCATGGGACCTCCCTTGCCAGTATCAAAATATATGAATAGGTTTTACCCTTTCTGGCAATAAAAGTTGGGTTAAGATGCTAAAGGAAAGCTGTCTCTGGTTTCAAAAACAATGCATATATTATCAGAGCATGTATTTTTTTGCATGTTCACCACAAGTATATGTGGTTAATGCAGACACGTAAAAGGTTTCTGTTTGGTCTTTTAACATCTAAACACAACTGTTTTATTGCCAGAAAGGGTAAAAACATATTCTCATATCGTTTTCTTTGGTTGCAAACTCAGCATGCGCACCGCTGCCAATGCGGCAGCATCACCACAAACTTTGTCGTTTGTTGAACCCCTTTGACCCACGCCACACACAGGTGAAACGTGCCCCACTGTGACGGGGCTGAGAAGCCACGGGGAAGGAAATCTCCAGCAGACGAAAGTCTCAGGTGACCATCTATTTGTTTCCCCCCCCCCACTTTTGGAATAGTTCAAAAATAAATAAACAAATTTAAAAACTTAAAATTTTCTTGCTGTGGATTTCACACCTGATGATGATTGCTTGTGTAGCAGTCGAAACGTCGTGAGAATTTTATTTTTTTAATTTGTTTTATTTTATTATTTCCCTTCTATGTTACTTTACCGAAAGAACCAAGAATATGAATCCCTGCAGTCACGAAAGCTTTAAATCAAAACAAATCATTGTTATTCGTATGCAAGACGCAATGCAACAACAACAACAAAACAACAGTTGCGAATGTGAGCGCGGCATTCTCTCTATGTGTGAAGCAAGTGGCAATCTCGCAGCATTCCTTCCCGTTTTGCCTTCCCAAAGTATCTTCTTGGTTCTTTCGGTAAAGTCACGTAGAAGTGAAATAATAAAATAATAAAAATAAAACATAATAAAATAAAATAATTCTCACATATATATAGGTAGATATATAGGTAGATTTCAGTGAGAATTATTTTATTTTATTATGTTTTATTTTTATTATTTTATTACTTCCCTTCTACGTGACTTTACCGAAAGAACCAAGAAGATGAATCCCTGCAGTCACGAAAGCTTTAAATCAAAATTCCCAAAGTATTTTAATGACAAGACGCTTCAGGTGGTGCACAACACCGCAAGAGCATGTGAAAGGGGGTTGACACCAGCACAAACACATTGCGGACTAACAGTGCACTAGAAACCTGTCTTAGACCGCACGTTTCTATAAACTCAATCACCTCCTGGCATCTCCTTCAGCTCTGATACCCATGTAGCGAAGAAACAAGGGAGGAGGTATACGGGGGGGGGGGGATGCCTCAATTCCCGAATGAATGCTCTTAAGAATCAATGCCCACTGGAGGAGAGGTTGGTGAAGAGTTTCCACGTTAGGTGGTAAGCCTGCTCCCTGCCCCTTACTTTGCAATCGCGTAGCATTCTTAACGCAGGGACTTCTGGTCGGCTCATGCCGCCACCTTGAAAAATGTCTGTCACACGAGCAAAGTGTGAAATGCGGACCGTGCTTTTATCCCAAGCCGAAATTAAACCGTAATCTCTGTGCCCACAGACACGAGAGTTATGGATTAATGATCAGATCGTAAACGATCAAAATTCCATTAACGCGCTGGTGATGTGTGATTGCCAAATAAACCCATAATTATTATTTGATTTCCAACAAAAACAAACCCCATCGTATTTATTCGATTTGATGCCAATCTAGACTTTTAAAGCTCCGGTATTTGCAGCTGAGTTGATCGCACTTCGTCCAATCAGCTCTGCCAAGTCAAGGTCAAAAGTCAGCTTGACTCCCGACTCAAACGACTCGTGGGATGGCGATTATCGTCTGCTCACAGCGCCGAGGCGACGATGGAAATTCCACATTTCTACGACAGGGGCAAGGAAATCCACAGCACAACAATGTGTAGACTTTCCGCCAAAATGGCACTAATTTTTTTGGCAATGGAGAGATGAAGGTGGTGTTTTCCCAGCTCCAAGATTTAAACCTTCTCGATTAGGTGACACTTTCTCGAACCACAGGGCTGGATTCATACCTTGGTGCTAGTCGAAAGTAGAAATCAAGCAGTGTCCTGGAACAGCTTGACGGCCTACCTTCCGGGTAAGTATATGAAACTGAAACGATTTCAACTATAAAACATTTATTTATTTTTGTTACCAGGTAAAGCCCACTGAGCTATATAGGTAGATTTCAGAAGCGACCTGGCCACAAATGAAAGCTTATCATGTGAAAATGTATAGCAGCCAAATGCGAAATGTGGAGGGGAAAAAACGGGAGGACCCGGTGAAAAATCCACGCGACTGCGGGGAGAGAAACACGCAAACTCCAAATATACAGCAGTAGGCGTCATATTGGGGATCGAACCCACGATCTCCTGTATACCAGGCGAGGTAGTTAACATCTCCACCACCGTGGCGCGCCTCTTGAATCTGGCGTTGTTTGTCGGCAGCGCTTCTCACCGAGGCAGCGTAACGCTTCCGCACTCTCCCACAGGGAGCCGCGCACTTAAACTTTCCACTTGGAGCCTTCCACGTCTCCTTGTGTTCCTCCGCCAAAATGTACATTTCCTTCTTGTTGATCTTTCGTAAAGTTTCTGTGTGTTTTGCGAAATTGCCGCGTCTCGATTTGAAGATTTTTGTTCCAGTAAAAAAAGATTCCCCGGAGTCGCGGTTTCACGATCTTCTTCGTGTTGAGTCTTGGTAATGTTCTCGCCGTTGCTTCCCCCAGAACGCGCGTGTGTGGTGCGTGCGTGTGAGCGTGTGAGTGTGTGTCGGTGCATGAGTGTGTGTGCGCATGTGTGTGTGCGTGGGGAGCGGTGGAGCAGCGGTTAGCGCGCCTGCGCTACGAACCCTGCGACCCGAGTCTGGGCTCAGTCTGGGCTGGGTCTGGGCTGGGTCTGAGCTGAGTCTGGGCTGGGTCTGGATTTGCTCTAGGCTGGGTCTGGGCTGGGTCTGAGCTGGGTCTGGGCTGGGTCTGAGCTGAGTCTGGGCTGGGTCTGGATTTGCTCTAGGCTGGGTCTGGATTTGCTCTAGGCTGGGTCTGGGCTGGGTCTGAGCTGGGTCTGGGCTGGGTCTGGATTCGCTCTGGGCTGGGTCTGGGCTGGGTCTGGATTTGCTCTGGGCTGGGTCTGGGCTGGGTCTGGGCTGGGTCTGAGCTGGATCTGGGCTGGCTCTCGATTCGCTCTGGGCTGGGTCTGGGCTGGGTCTGGATTTGCTCTGGGCTCGCTCAGCTGTCTGATCCCTGAGCTCCCAAAGCAGCTCCATGCACTCTATCAAATCGACGTTTAAAGAAAAGCATTCAGTCCCTGATTGATAACGGCGATTGAGGCTTTTTCAAGCGGTAATTTAGGCATAACCGACAAGTTCACTTCCCCGCACAGATTTGACAACCTTGTGTTTTCATTAAATACGCTCTCAGCTTTGAGAATAAAAAAAAACAGCACGGCGTTGGGGTCACGCTGCAGACCTTCCAATTTGCCTAAAACCTTCCAAGTCTCAGATTTTAATTTGCAGTCTTGATTAGCCCCCCTCTCCCTCCCCCCCCCCCATGGAGAGTTGTCGCCAGCAAAGTGCCACGGGGGGTTGGGATTCGCGTGCTGGCTAATGTTTCCCTTAGCACGACGCTTTAGCAACAACAACAACAACAAAGTACGTGCCCATGTCTCTCTCACCGAGCGTTGAGGTCACTTCTCGTAAAGACGCAAATCTTTGCCGGGGAGGTGTTGCTGTTAGTAGGATCGTAGCGGTACGGCCGATACTACGATACCGCGATATACTGTACGATACTACGATATATCGTATGATATTGCGATACATCGTAGATACTACGATACGGTACAAAGGTCCACGGTATTCGCGCGGTCCATTTCGTGATTACCGGGGGTCTCATTTGGTTGTATTTTTATTTTATTTTAACGACATTTTCATCAAATAATAAAAGCACAATAATTAATAGGCATACATAAATATCAACTGGTTACATTAGTGGGCTCAAAGGCTGATGGACGACACGACATTTCTATGTATAATGTACTTATGTTGCCGTATGTATGTAGAACTTCCTTCGCACCGTACGTGGCTAACCACGCTTTGATCGGATGTGCTCTCCACTTGCTGGGTGAGCGAGTGGTTGTCGTCTCCCTGTGTTGGGTGCTCAGGGTTCGAACTCACGGCACTCTTCTTGAGAGCGGACAACGGCTCACCAAGGTCAGGACGGGCACAAGGCTCCATTCGAGTTGGCACGAGGCCCATCACGTTCCTCACCAGGTGAGAGCACCCACGTCTCAGGGACGTTGTGTCGAGTCGTCTTCTCACCAGTGCAGGGCTTTGGGCTCTGGGGTGATGTTGTACACTTGTGTATTTTTTTAAAATCCTTTATATTAAGTTCACTTGCTTGCTTGCGCGCTTACGACCGTGCAAATCTTTCGGTCGTTTTTTAACCCACTTCCCGTGATCCAATCCACACAGACTCGTTGTGCGTGACAATTTATTTTCGTGAAAAAATGTTTCCAAAATTTTCCACTTTTTAGGAACATTTTTGTTTCATATTTAATTTAAAATACCAATGTGATAAAAACGAAACTCTTACTAAAAAAAACAGAAATGAATAATAAAATAAAACCGATGCCACGCATATAAAGGATTTATAGTGAAAAACTTTGTTTTTACGGGTTAATTTTTTAAAACATATATGCACTCATTAGACGCAAAGTGCTTGCCACGAATGCATCACAATACCTTGGTGATCTCGTTAAGGAGCATGAGCCATCATCACGCGAACTTTCGTCATCCTCGCATCAGCGGCTTTAGGCTAAACCGTCGAACAAATAGGGCCACTGCATCGCGTGCTTGCAGATGTGCTTCTGCGGCCGTCTGGAACGTTCTTCCTCCCGATATTAGGAAGCCACTGATTTAAAACTAATTTCTTTAGAACTGCGTTTGTGTGTTTAGTCTGTGGTCCTTTCCCTGCACCTCCGATCAGCACGGTTGGCTAAGCACGGTGCGAAAGAAGTTCAACATACGCGCGCACACACACACGTACTGCCCCAACCAGTGTCATTCCACACTGGGCGTGATAATTGCCGCTGTGCTCGGACGTGGACAATCGTCAATAATTCTGCGCACTCGCACAAAGCAGTGCGACACCTCGCGCTACAGAAGAGCCCACGGAAGGAGATAGTGTGGAGCTACTTCTGAGATCGCCATCGAGTGATCTCTCTCTCTCTCTCGAGAGAGAGAAGACCTCGTGTCCACACGAGGTGGCGCTGCAAGTTTCCGCAAACGGGCAGCCGCGGAGTCGCTCATCACCACAGCAGGTCAACGACGATTTTTTTTTATTGAATCTGGATTTTGTTCGTCGTTACCAAATTCACCGTAAAGGCAAAACGCGATTGGCAATTATTTGTGCAGTCGTTGGTGACGAGGTTGAGACCTTCGTCAACCGAGGAACCCTGTTAAATCACGGACGGCTTGAAACCCGGACTGGAACCCACGTCCTGAGTGGCGCCAGCTCAGTGCAACGACTCTTGGCCCGGCAGAACAACCATCTCGTTTATGATTAAAAAATAAATACCTGGTGAAGCAGCTGAAAGGGCGTCCAACCGTGGAGATGGAGCAATGGAATCAACTCGTGTGCAGGAGCTCGACGGATTGTTACATCGTGAGACTGAGAGATGCCAATGTCTTTGATAGGTCTTCATCCAGCGGTAGATAGATAAGGGCTGATGATGACGAGGTTTAGTCACTTGAATCATAACACTGCCTTTGCCGTGAAGAAGGGTCATTGCCCGAAACGTCGCCTAGTGTCTATTTATTTCCTTTTCAGGCCATAGTCTTGTTAATGTGTTGAGTTTCCGACAGCCCTGTTCTTCACCTGAGGACGTTCTGCTTGCGTTGTGGCCGAAACGTCGTGATAATTTAATTTTACTATGTTTTATTTTTATTATTTTATTATTTCCCTTCTACGTGACTTTACCGAAAGAACCAAGAAGATTTTCTGCGTTAGATGTGCCTTGTGCACCACTGCCAACGCGGCAGCAGCAGCAGCACCAAATCGTTAGTTTCACGAGTTTCGTTAACAGCGACGGCAAATTTTCAGATTCTTAGGTTTTTTCGGTAAAGTCACGTAGGTAAAACATTAAAATTAATATAAGTTAAATAAAATAAAAATTACGACGTTTCGGAAGCAAGATACAGCTGTCGGGCTGTGACAGTTCCACCTGAAGACGGAAGCTTGTGTTGCTTCCGAAACGTCGTGATTTTTATTTTATTTTACTTTTATTAATTTTAATGTTTTACCGACGTGACTTTACCGAAAAAAACCTAAGAATATGAATCCTTGCAGTCACGAAAGCTTCAAATCTAGAATTAAGCGACGGCAAATTTGTCCACGTTGCATTGCTGATGCCATTCCACTGCGGCTCGTCCGTACGGCGTTGCTTAGCCGCGTGCACTCTTTAGCACAACCGCAAGCCAAACGACACAGGAGTCGCCACTGTTGGATTAATTACAAAGCTGAGCGCATTAGAGGGGATCCGCGTTCAAATGTAAAGGGGTTTATCCCGACGGCGAGTCGAGCCGAGATATATATTTAAAAAAAAATCCACTCATATTCTCTCTCTCTCTCGAGTTTCCCCGAGTGAAGATGTAATTGAATTACTCACGGAGAGAACGACTCGCAAAATCTGCACGCCCGGCCGGCCGGACGGACACGCGATAGGGCGCTTGCGGTTTAGCAAAGGCAGCTTGAGCGAAAGTGCAGATGGCTCGCGACGCGCCGCGCGCCTGCGTGGGCGAAGACACGCGTGAAGACAAGCAAAACGCGCGTGCACACATGCACGACCACCCCCCCATCCCCCGTGTGTCTGTGCGTGTCACTGCAAGCGCGTGCGTGCGTGCGTGCGCGTGCGTGTGTGCGTGCGTGTGCGTGCGTGCGTGTGTGCGTGTGTGTGCGTGCGTGCGTGTGCGTGCGTGTGCGTGCGTGTCACTGCAAGCGTGTGCGTGCGTGTGCGTGTGTGCGTGTATGCGTGCGCGTGCGTGCGTGCGTGTGCGTGCGTGTCACTGCAAGCGTGTGCGTGCGTGCGTGTGCGTGCGTGTCACTGCAAGCGTGTGCGTGCGTGCGTCCCGGATGTGCTGTAGTAGACGCAGGGAGATCGCTCGATTTCTTTCGGTATCCCTTTTCTCTCCGTTGACCTGTCTGCAACTGGGGGGTTGGGTAGGGGGGGGTCTTGTGGTGGTGCAGATAGCCCACGTGCTCCGGCTACGGGGTCGTTAAGAAGACTCGGGCCGCTTTAATTGCAAAAGGATGGATTTTTGTTGTTGCGTTGCCACAGAGAGAGTGACACTCGGCACCCTCACGTGGCACCGCGGTGGCTAGGAGATGTTATCGGTGGCTAGGAGATGATATCGATGGCGAGGAGATGTTATGGGTGGCTAGGAGATGTTATCGGTGGCTAGGAGATGTTATCGGTGACTAGGAGATGTTATCGGTGGCTAGGAGATGTTATCGGTGACTAGGAGATGTTATCGGTGGCTAGGAGATGTTATCGGTGGCTAGGAGATGATATCGATGGCGAGGAGATGTTATGGGTGGCTAGGAGATGTTATCGGTGGCTAGGAGATGTTATCGGTGACTAGGAGATGTTATCGGTGGCTAGGAGATGTTATCGGTGGCTAGGAGATGATATCGATGGCGAGGAGATGTTATGGGTGGCTAGGAGATGTTATCAGTGGCGAGGAGATGTTATCGGTGGCTAGGAGATGTTATCGGTGACTAGGAGATGTTATCGGTGGCTAGGAGATGTTATCGCCCCTCGCCTGGTCTACAGGAGGGTCGTGGGCTCGATCCCGACCCTGACGCCTGCTGTCATATTTGAAGTTTGCGGGTTCTTTTACCACCGTGGTCGCGTGGATTTTTCTCCGGGTCCTCCGATTTAATTTTCCCCCGCCCACGTTTAGAAAGAACAACAACAACAACATCGCGCGTCTAGAGTATTTTGGCTGCTATAAATGTCCACGTGATGATAAGTCACTTCGTGGAGCTATCATTTGTGGCCAGGTCGCTCCTCCAAAATAAAAGAGAGCTGTTTAGCTTATTGGGCCTTACCTGGTGAAATAAATAATTAAAAAAAATTGTTCAATTTAGAGAGCACGAGATCTCGGCAAACAAACAAGAAGCTTGTTGTCTACGTACGGTGCGAAAGAAGTTCAATGTACATACTTTAGCGGAGAGAGGAGGAGGAGGAGCGAGTTAGACGGCGGTAATGTTCTCCGAGATGAACAGCAGCGCGGGCGGAATGCGTTGGGTGCAGGCTCGAGTAACAATTAGAACTCACCAGGCCACCCTGGGAGCATTTAAGAGACCCTCTGCAAGTGTTGCTCGTTAATTGGCGTTTTGCTCTCCATGGCTCACTCCGTACCCGGCGGCTCGTTACAGCCCACCACGTGTCCCCCCCCCCCCCCCACGTCTCCCATCTCCCCCCCCCGTCCCCTCTCACCCCCATCTCCCCTTACCCCCCCCATCTCCTCTCACCCCCCGTTCCCCCTCACACCCCCCCTCCCCCCTCACCCCCTCGTCCCCCCTCACACCCCATCTCCCCTTACCCCCCCGTCTCCTCTCACCCCCTCGTTTCTCTCCTCTCCCCCCCCCCCCGTCTCTCCCCCCCCTCCGGTCTCCCCTCTCCCCCGGGTTCTGAGCCTCTGTTAGGTCTACTCAGCCTCAAATGAGTACCTGGTGTAGTGTGTAAACATCGTGACGGGGGAGACAAAGGCGGCCAGGGCCTTGTGCTGGCCACAGACCTCCTTGTGTGCCGTGCCGGCCTTCATAGGTGCTCGCTAACAGCACTTGCCCCAACAACCCGTGTAGGCTATACGAGGGATCTTTGTCTTTGTGTGTGACCAAATTTCTACAACTTTATTGACACCGGGAGTTTTATTTTCTGGAGCGTCTTATAAATATGGTAAACACAGTGAAAACGCCGCGGTTTTTAGTGGAACTTTCTATATTTTCTATAATAGAGGTTTTTGGGGTGAGATCGCGTAAATATATAAATGTGTCGTTAAACCCGCCACCATCCGACACAGCCAACTAGTAAGGGTTGTCACGTGAACACAACGTGCCAATTCGTTACTAGCACAGCACACCAGTGTGTTGGAGAGCCAAGCCACAACATTTACAATCTAAGTACGACGTTTCGCCAGTAATTACAACTAGCTTCATCAAATTGGCACGTTCTGTTTACGTGACAACCCATACTAGTTGGCTGTGT